ATATATATATATATATATATATACATACAATATTGTTTAAAACATTTGCAACTAACATCGAACAATGCTAAAAAGTGTTCCTAATTTTACATGTCTTAAAAACGAATACTATACTACCAAAGCAAACTATACTACCACAACAACAACAAACTATACTACCATACCAAACTATACTACCACAACAAAACAAACTATACTACCACAGCAAACAGTTCAGGAGTGTGGAGTCATAGCATGCCATGACATGAGCAATCAGCTGACAGGTGACAGCACACAGGCAGAATTTCGTTAACAAGTGCCATTTTGCAGATGACAAAACAAGTGCAACTTTTTTGGTTTGTTTCATTTTCTTAAGCCCAGTCTTTATAGATGTTCTTTATAGATGTTCACATATATATAAATGTATATATATGTGAACATCTATAAAGAAGATTTCGCTAGCTTTTTGATACTTGCATCATCAGCTTTAATTAGAAAATATTAATTATATTTAATTATAAGTAAATGGTAACTTCACTTTTAATGGCTTTTTTAAAGTTCAATTTAAATGGGGTACTTTAATGTTGTGTAAGTATAAAAAATATGGCATTCCTATTAGCATTTTTACATATTGACCATTGTCTAAATTCATACCTCTGTTTTTAGGTCTGCAATTATACTGAATATTAATAGGTTGGTGAACCTTTCTTTCAAATCTTTTAGATTCAATTTTTATTTCTATGATGCTGTTGCAAATAAATTTGAAGTAAAAAATGTCATAGATTTAAAAACAACTTTTACTGAAATTTATCCTGCACATTAAAACCTTCACTGGTTTTATTTGCTTTATTGTGTTAAACCTATGTGAAATGGAAAAATTTAAAACCACAGAAATCTTTTAGAACTACTACCTAAATTTATTCCAACTATACAAAATATAATCTATTTAGACATAGTTTCAGTTTCATAGGACAAAAACATTGATAAATACTCTTATGGTAAAGAAGCAAGCTTTGTTCGAATAGGACACAACAAAATCATTGACAAAATTCATCATAAGTTTGGCAAAACGAAGATAATTAAAGAATACCTGACCATTAAATTTAATTAATAAAATTATAGATAATAAAATCAGAACTTATCAAAAATCAAAAATTGATTTAAAAATGGGAACCAAAGAAATATGAATATCTATACCCAAGCAACCACCACTACCACCTACCACCACCATGTATGTATGGTGTAATTAAAGGTGTAGTTTCAACAATGGTAACAATAAGTTATGGAATATCACAATATTTTATAAATATATTTTAACCAATAAAAAAAATATATATAACAAAGTTAAAAAATTACCAGCTTTTGTAAAAACAGCTAAACTATGGAATATATCAAACAATGAAATACAGGTGTCTTACAACGTTTTCATTTCATACCCAGAAATCTCTCTGGGAGTGGCCACAAAAATTCTTCTCAATATTCTTAAATTTAAGTAAATTAACAAAACTACATTTTATAAAAAAAATATCTGATGTAATTGTATTTATAAAAGTTTTATTTTTAATGGAAACTTTTCTTCATGATAATACTTGCAGAAGGTTTCCTGCTTCCTTTTTTGCTTTCCTTTTTTCAAAAACAAAGCAACTGACATGGCCCCTCATTATAATCTGCCACTAGAAATAAAATCATTTTTGAGGTATATAGATAATAGTCATGTACAATTTACCTATAAAGATAATGCCATTCATTTTTAGCAAATATTAAACAGTCAACATCATGCTATTAAAAGCACATTTGAATTGGAAGATGAAATTAAATAATTATATTATTTAGATACTCAAATAACCAACGATCAAAAAGGTAATTATGATATTAACATACATTGAAAAGAAGCAATAACAAAATCATAATACAAACCACAAAGTATACCTAATAAAATGTGAGTGTAAACAAAAGCAAATTGGCAAAACAAAAAAGAAAATAACGACAAGAACAAATCAACATCAAAAAAATGTGTTAGAAGAAAAATGGTACAAATCTGCAATTGAACATCATAAAATCAGATGCCCATACAATATAAAATTGTTGAAAATAGTACCTCAAAAAAATTTAAAGAAATGTTCAAATGTCAATTAAAATTCAGTATAGCAAATGCAAACCTTAAAACAGAGATATGAATTCAGAGGATGGTCAATATGTAAAAACACATTTTTGTACGCCATTTTTTTTATACTTATGTAACATTAAAAAAGCCCATTTAAAGCGAACTTTAAAGAAGCCATTAAAAAGTGAAGTTACCATTTGTTTTTAAATAAATTTAATTAATAGTTTGTTATTAAAGCTAAAGATGCTACTATCAAAAATCTAGCAAAAATTTCATAAAATAATAAAAAAATTAGTATTGAGAGAACTTGTATTTATTGATGTTTACAAAGTCCAACAAATAAGCTAATCCAACTTTCATGCAAAATATTGTCATTTAAAAATATATATATTTGAAGGACAATTAAAAAAAAAAAAAAAAAAAAAAGTGTTATTTAAAAAAGTCAAGTAATGTATTTTTATTAAAAATAATTTTAAATATCGTGGATTTGAATTCTTGAGTTGTATTGCTTTATCCAAGTTTATAAAGCAGCCATGACCATAAAAAACAATCAAAAGCAGCCTGACCATAAAAGAAAAATCTCCTAAGTTTAATTTACAAAAAATTTTAAAACCGTTTTGTAAATTAAATAATAGATTGGTATGATGTTTTACAAAAACTTTTGGTTTGTTTATTTAGGTTTGTAATTGTTTGTGGCTACATCACTCATGAAAGTGTTTCTTCATTTTTACGAGATTTTCTTCATTTAGACAGAAATGACAACAATACTATGGTAGTATTTTTATCACCGTAAGTAATTTGTTTACATTTATTTTTTTGTCTTTTTTGATCTATTTTAATTTTTTATTAAACAGTTAAAATAATGATTTTTAGTTATAAAAATTAAATACATCGTAAATAAAACTTTTCAATTTATTTGGATAAACAGTTCAGTTTTGGCCTTTATATTAAATTATTTAGTTACCCATAAAAAATAGCTGTTCAGGGCTGGTAATAAAATATTAATTTTTGACATTTTTTTGTTCTTTCAAATTTTTTTTTCTTTCCAACAATTAAAAATGGCATCGTCAAAGAAATTAAATTTGATAATCATTGTTCCAGTTTTTTTGGTGATAGCTAGAAAATTGAAAAATTTCTAGCTAGTGTCTGTTCAAACCCAAACCTGCCATGGAAGTGTATATTTAAGTCCTCGCAGATATAGGTCTGAGGTTTCATGCTCACTAGAGTATGTCCTATTTTAAATTTTTTTTTTAAAAAAAAACGATTTTTATTATGTACTAGGAATTACTAAGTAACATTCAATTAAAATTTCTTTTTTGGTAAAAATGAAACAAAAAAATGGCAATATTTAAAGTAAATAATGCAAAAATGAAAACATTAATCAAAGAATATAAAATTAAATTTTGTTTGTTAAAACAACTTACCTGACAATACAGTTTTATAAAATAAAAAAAAGCAAAAAAAAAAATTCATATAGCCAGTAATATATGAATTTTTTTTTTTGCATTACTAAAAAAATCTAGTAAATCAGAAAAAACTAGTTTTTCAATTATTAGTTTTGTCCATAGGTGCCCATAGGATTTTTGATGTTTCACATTTAAGGCATTGTGAAATGACTCTTAAGTACTTAAGTATGTTCATGCTTATATCATATAAAAATGTTTAATAAAGTATTGCCATCATTAGAACCTGGAAACCAAAATTCCTAAAAAAATCCCCTCCATCCTCAGCCCTCCGTCCTGTAAAATTCAGGACAATGAGCTAATATAACATTTATTTTCTCCTTAATTTAAATTATCGATAGGTTTTAAATTTTAAAAGTTTAGTTTAACATTTAAAAGTTATGATCATGTAAACATTCAATTACATATACTGAGGGGTTTGCAAATTTTACATGATCATGTAAACTTTCCACACTTTTTAAAATGAGGGGGTTGCAAAATTTTACACCATTTAATTTTTTAAATACTGAAAAACTATTTTATATTTAAAAATTGTCAATAAATAGCCTGAAATGGTCATCTAAAACATCAAGAAATTTTATAGGGGCTAATATATTTTTTCGAGTTTACAAAGTTTACATATAGTTATAAAAAAAAGTTTAAAAAAAAAAAGTCGTTAAAAAATGGGCCAAACATGATACCACTGCCTACCTATGTAGGCAGTAGTAAATTCTAGAAACATACCTATAATGTTAGTTCAACTCAACTTTCAACCCTGATAGTTACTTAAGATATGCTACACATAAAAAAAGCACTGGAATGGATGAGCTCAAACATCAGTAAGCAAAACAAATGTGGCCACCAAACTTGCCAGACATCAACCCACTGGACTATTCTATCTAGGAAAAGATTAAACTAATGCCTGCAGTAAGCTTCATCTAAATTTTGAGAAATGAAAACAATCATGGTCAAAGCATGCGACAAATGTTTAGCAGGCTACATCGAAAAGACCTGTCAAAGCCTAAGGTGTTGTCTAGAAACAATTATTGAAAAAAAAGTGGATTTCTTCTTCTTTTAAATATTCTCTTTTATAAAGTTTTTTTAGAAATAAGAAATAAAAATATTATTTTTTTTTAAATATGAAAAAATTTAATAAACTTTATTTTGTTTGTTTATAAATTTTGTTTTAAAATAACTAAAATTTTTAGATCACATCCTGATGTAAATATTCAAACATCACTTAAGAAATATGAATCACGAACATGTTATTTTATCGGTACTATTTATTCTTCTATAGATGCTGACAGAATGCAGGTTTCTTATTATAATAATATATAAAATGAATTATTTTTAAGATTTTCTTTTTTGTAAACAGGTTTATTTTATATATAGATAAGCAAAGCTGATGCTGTGATAATATTATGCAATAAAAAGTGTGCTAATCCGGATGAAGAAGATGCAGCCAATATAACAAGGTACCTTACTGAATATTATTTTTTTTTTATTTGTCCCTAGCCAAAAAAAAAATTGGGAAGAGGGGAAAAGGTATTAAATAAATATAAAATACCAACTAGAGATTACTTTATTAAGAAAGTTGTATATTAATAATCCAAAAACACAAAAAGTTATCACATGGTTTAGCATGCTGCTGAAATTGATTGCACCATCATCAAATTGCACTCTTTTTGGTGAAATTTCTATACTTTTTTTTAAAATAATTTGCTATTTAGTCTTTGGCTATAAACATTTTCTATGTACTTCAAGACATTTACATGCCAAATAAGTTGTAGCATATTTATATCAACTTTTTAAAGGTGATTTTGGCAACCTTTTTTTCTTGTATTGCCAATACTTTACAAGAGGTTTTGGGCTCCATGAAATAGTTACTTGACTTTAAAATAACTCAGGAACAGTTTTTTAAGAAGATCTTCAACCATTAAAACATTCAACCATTAAAACTATAAAAAGAAAGTTCATTCTTATGATTAATAGTTAATAATTAAATATGATTAATAACTAATAATTAAAATGATTATGATTAAAAACTAAAGACACAGCCTTAAACGCTAATCTAAGAGTTGAGCCAAAAGAATTTTGTGCATTGATTTCAGTTAGTGGCAAAATAGTTTTTTACACGTCAAGTTTCCTTTTGCATTTATCTTACATTTTTTTCAATAATTTTAATTATGTTGCATGCAATTGCACAAAAAGATATAAAACTGAAACGGATAAATCATTTCACATATAGGAGTTTGTATTGTAATAAATAGTTTTTGTCTTTTTTAGAATATATCAAATAAAAAATATATTCCATATATCTTTAATAGAAGTAATTTTCCTAAAAAATTTAAAGGAAAAAATTTAATTTTCTTATTTCTAGTTTTAATTATTTCTAGTCATTAAAACAATGTTTCTATTTTTTTGCAACAAAGTTAAGTCACATACACAAAAAAAAATGTGGCTTCAATGATTTACAAAAAAGTCTTGTATGACACATACGCAACTCAATCATTTAAAATTTTAAAGGTTTATAATAATTTTTTTAGCAGAAATAAATGTTATAGATCAAAATTAGGGAGATGTTGCCGCAATGCAATTTTTAAGTGAAAGCGAAACTGTAAAACTTGATATATGTTTTAGTGCGTTTTGACATTGAAAATTTAAAGTTTACTTATGTTAGATATTTGCATACATTTTTGTTCAGGTTTTCTTTTAACCAAAAAGTGCTGCAACTCTTCTCGCCATTACCTTAATTGCAATGGGTGCCAATAGTTTCATGTGAAACACGCTTGAATGAGCACTACTAACAGTACTATTAAGTTCGGCAATAATATAGGAAGATAATATATTCAGGCTTTGACAGGAATTGTGTGCGGTCAAGCACTATTGCTTACCATGCAAATGATTTTTATTTTTTGACAACTTCACCACGACTACTTAGATGTTTAGATGACTTTAGGAATGCGCTGAAAAAAGAAATGCTAGCTAATCTTAAACTAAAAAGAAAATTAAAACAAATATGAAAAAAGAAATTCCTTATGAAAAAGAAAATATATTAGCTCTGAAATAAAACTGAAAAAACTCAAAGCGAAAACTTTTTGTTACTATTTCAATTGCGTTTAAAATAAATTAAAAATTTATCTTTTGAAACGTTTTATTAAAGTTACGCAAAATGCTTTTACAAATTACTTCTAATGATTGTTTAATGAATGAACAAATTTTATTTAAATTATTAAAAAGTGATATATTATTTTTAAATTGTATAAAAATTTATTTTTTCCAAACGGTTGAAAAAAAAAAATAATAGTTAAAAAAAATACCATAATCTATTTAAAATAGTAATTTTTATTCTCTTTCTTTTTCATGCTCTGATTTGTTAGTCAATTAAAAAAAAAAGTTTTGAACAATTCTGTGTAAAAATAGAAACAAAAGAATAAAACAATTAATTCATTCCATTTAATCGGAAGATTTAACTTATTCATAATTTAAAGTATTTAAAAAAACTATCTATCAAAAGATCTTTAAAAAGACATGGAAAATTAGTTTCAAACAAATTATTATATATATATATATTTATCATAAAAAAAAACATGCCTACACAAGAACAATTTAAATATAACATTATTTGTTTATTTACACAAAATATGTTCATTTTAAACAATCACTATAATTACTTTTTTTATTTTATTTAAAGCCTTTGCATAAAATAACAACTTTAGAAAAGATCAACGATTAAAAGTTATTTATAATATAACAATTTTTTTTTATAGCATTTAAATTGTTAAAATATCAAAGCCGCTGTGTTCAAATTGTAAAGAAAAAATAAAATAAGCGTGGTCAGTTACAGCGTGTGATCGCACGTCATTCCTGTCTGAGCCTGTATATATATATATATATATATATATATATATATATATATATATATATACATATATATATATATATATATATATATATATATGTATATATATATATATATATATATATATATATATATATATATATATATATATATATATATATATATATATGCTAAAAAACACACATGCTGAAACTTTTTATTCCCTATGTAATAAAGTATAATATAATATTAAAAAAATTTACATTCAGGAGGACATCTACTGCTATTTAGAGTGGTAGCCCTCCAACCAAATAAAGAAACATCAAAGAAAGAATGTTGGAATTTGAAAAAAAACTGGCCAGTTTTTGGTCCATGCAATCATTTAAACACAGATAAACTGTTACATGATTGTTGTGGCAAAATCTCACAAATTGTCTTATCACTCTCTGATCAATTGAAAGTTTAGAACAAAATAAGAAAATTTAGAACACAAAATTTGTGTGAATTCAAACTGAGATCTGAGTTGAATGCAGTGAATGATAAATTAAAATCTTCTAGTATTAGCAATGATTGAATTCAGATAATAAAAAAATAGGAGTAAAAATTTAAATAAGCCAGTTGAACAGTTTATTATTGAAAATCAATCAACGAGTTGATTAGAAACGAAAGAAAAATATTATTGTCTATGGAGTCAAAAAATAAGTATTTTTTAAAAAATAACAGAAAATTAACTTACAATTAAAAGTATTTTGTCTTTCATTAATAAAGCTGAAGTGATATATGAGAAGGTTGCAATCTAAAAATTCAACTAAAACTAGTCCTATCCTTGTTGAACTTAGTGAACGAAATTATAGCAGCCAAAAAACTTTAGAAATAGTGAAGTTCATAAATTAGTATATATAAGTCCAGATTTAACTGAAACAGAAAGGCAATTGCATTATCAACTTAGACAAGAGAGAAACATATTAAATTTGGAATTAAATTCTAACTCTCCCTTTCAATATGAAATCCGTTGAAATTAAATCCAAAAAGTCAAAAAAATTAAATTCATTTTTCCCTCAAAACTGTTATAAATTTAAAAAAAAGCAAATAATGAAAAAATACCTAAATTTATTTTAAATATTTACTGAGTACAATTGTACAAAAATATGCCAGTTCAAGATATGTATAATGAATTGATTTATTACTCCAGCATTGCAAGCAGTTTATTTATTCCCACTATTGATGTTTCAAAAATTAGAAATATGGAACAGATTGCTGAAATTCAACAAGTGCAGTGTGATGGCTTATTGCTCTACTATTAAAAATTATCCACTTTTCATTAATGGTATACAACTTCATGATTCTAAGTCTGAACAAGATCTTGGGTTATATTTTCTATAGATATCTTTATTTAATATTCATTTTGACAAATCTTAAATGGAAAAATCAAGTAACTATGGCAATGGAGAAAGCAAATCAAATGCTGGGACAAATGAAGAAATTGTTTGTTTTGATTGTCAATTTATAAGATCTCTTTATTTAACATTCATTCGTCCACATCTTGAATTTATAGTTCTGGTTTGGTCTCTTTGTATTAAAGGAGATTGTAATGCAATGGAAAAAATACAACACAGAGCAACTTAAATTGTTTAATCAATTAGCAGTCTCAAATATGAATATCAACTTACTGCTTCAGGCTTAACAACTGTGGCTGAGGCAGAAGGGAAGGGGGTAGAATTCATAGTATTATACAAGGCGAGAGGAGGGGGGGGGGTAGAATTCATAATATTATTCAAACTTATGCATGGTATTGACAGGATTAACAGAGGAAAATGTTTTCAACTTGTTAAAAATTGTTTAAGAAGTTATTGCTTTAAATATCACAAAGAATTTGCTTTTTTTTGCAAGGGAATATTTTCTTTTTAACAATATTGCAAAAAAAAAAGGAATATACTTTCAATTGAAGTTGTAACAGCATAGTCGGTAATTGTTTTAAAAGACCTTTTGATTGCTGGCTGAATAGCAATCAAGCATAGCTGCTGTCATAGTGTGTGTTATAGTATCATAGTGCAACACTCACTGGATTTGTCTAGCTACTGTCATTAACTACTATTACTATATATATATATTAGGGTGTCCCAAAAAAAAAAAAAAAAAGCTCTCTACTGATTCCCATTCTATGTGACCTAAATAAGTATTAAAAAAAATTTGACGGTTTTATTTTGACAGGAAGTGCTAGATGTAAAATCTGAGTTTTACTGTTTTAATGTTAAGCTATCTTAACATTAATAAAAAACACATGTTAGAAAATTAAAACAAAACAATTAGATGGGTATAAATCATTTTCAATTGTTTTCTACTATTTAACTTAATAGATTATATTTATAAATATGAAAATACAAAAAAAATACATGAAAACTAATATTTATTAGCAAATTTAAGATTTTATTGCGGTAAAACATTTCCTAAAAATACAACTTTTTAAACAGTTCCCTAGCTCCTTTTTAGTCATAGTCTTAGTCAAGTTTTTTCTAGACTTTTTAACTACAAAAAGTACATTTTGAAGGTGATCTTCATCTCTAGTAGCTGAAATAAAATCTTTAATGAGCTTAATGTTTCTTTCTGCACCATCATTTACAACAGATATGTTTT